TAATTATACTGACTTTGACCATCTGAATCGGAACATTGTAAGTGAGACAGCTTCTTGGTGGCAGAAACTGATAAGAAGGCAACGATTCCAAGAGACCTAGAAAATTGAAATTTACTTTCCAATAACTTCTAAATAGTCCGAATTCCAACAACTTTCAATTACTTTTTATAAAAGAATAGACAACAAGTAATTTCATCTCCTGTATCTACGTGATTCGATGAATAGCGTGAACGTTAACCCATGCATATGTATTGCCGGCACTTGACAAGTTTCCCCATGTACACAGATGCGTTGACTGGATTATGTTAATGGATCTATTCACGTTTGACGGCTTGTAGAGTCCACAATCGCATAATTTATGAGGTAGGTGCTTGTTCAGAATGGATATCTGCATGCATTCAAACGCAAGACTTAAGCGTAGTCAAATTGGTCATTAGAAATTCCCTTAATGCAAAATAATACCTTAACGTTTGCTTTGTATTCAGCGTTTAACAAATCTTGATTAGAGTAAATCCAGATATTTCGTCTTAAATCAACCTCGATTATTACTATTTGAACACTGAGTCTACTTTATACAAAATAATTAAAACAAGAACTCATCTTCTAGAGCAAACTTTGCGAATTTCACCTTTTCATAATTTTTGAAACCAAAAATAATTAATTTACAATTTAGTTCTTAACGCTTTCTTTACTAAATAAATATTTAAGTATCTAATTGGATTTAATCATTACCTCTCTTCTTTCTTTAACTAAAATTTTTAATAATTTCAAAAAAAAAACTTTCAAATATGATTTTTTTTAATGTCTACGTCGCAGCATCTAGCTTTATAAGCCTTTCAGTTAGCAGCCTATCCTTTTTACAAAAGGGCGCTGTTCACCTAGCGGCATAAAAGATTTTCAGCCGATGAGTCTATTATTATTGTTACGCCGCGCTCAAATTAGCGCACTAGCGCCATCTAGTGTCAGGAACGAGAGCGAGGGGAGCTGTGCAGTAAATGACATCACAAATCTTTCGACCGACAGCGCCACCCGAAGAACTAAGTTTCTGGAAAATCTACACTCGAATACTCGTTGCCTGGCGCGCATTTACTTGAATGTTCGGGACGCTTCTTTGCTAATTATATAAATAGGCGCTGCAAGGTGCGAGCAGGGCAGAGTTGAACTCGGCGACACAAGCGAAGCTTCGGAGCGGAATTAAGTGAATTAGTGTGTTTAATTATTAGTGTTTTTAGTTTTAATTTGTGTAAAGTAAATTAAAGTGTTAATTTAGGTAATTTTATCGGCAATTTTTATTGTCACGAACCTCAAGCTCGTAACATTATATAAGATAAGATAGATAAGTGTACAATTCGTACACTTACAATGATAAAAATAGGGCGTAAGTAAGCAGATCACTTATTAACTATTACAGTTGTCTTTTGTTATTGCTTATAATATCCAATAAATCAGAATATTAAAAAATAAAAGAAATGATGAAGATGTTCCTGACTTGACGTGGTTGCTTACTATCAGGCAGACTGCCAATACATTAAAATATATTGTTCGGGTAACCCTTTAAGAATTAACTATTACCACTTACATTAAAAAATATTAAAATAATGAAGGTAGGTAGATCATAAAGTATGCCGACAGCGGAAACTAACAAAATATTACGTTATTAACGGCAATGTAATTGAATAACCTCAACCTCTTCAAGGTGTGTGTTAAATGGCTTCTCGTGGGCAAACTCGCTCCATCATAGACCTCATCTTTGCCCAAGAGTGAGCCCGTTTTTAAGAAAAAATGGCAAGCGGTTGTCCGTATAAAATTACAAATATTCACGATACAAGTTACATTTATTTCAGTTTTACCTTATTTTCATTGATCTTATACAAATTAGACTGAAGCTGGCCGTTTTGTAATTAATGACATCAATCAACCGCAAGTTCGTGTTAATGTATATTTGGATGCAATCAAATATATCCCACACTCACATTGAACACTGCCGCTGATTGCTTATTAGCAATTCTCTCAGGCCTCAATCCGTCATCAGTAGACCGTTGCGGTTCCAAGCTCTGTTTAAGTCAGTATCTATTTTTAGCTCAGCGTTCCTTTATTGTCAACACGAATAGAAGAGATTTATGATCGAAGCATATATGAACTCTTGTGTGTGAAAAAAGAAAAACGAAAGAAAGAAGAACAACACAAAAGCATTATATGGGCAAAATGTTTCTAATATCTATCCGGCATTAATGTTTTAAAGAGCGATTTAATTACAGTTGGAACTGATATTTGACCGACCCGTATATGTAAATACTTAACTAATCTGCACTTATTACGGAAATAATATAGAAGTCTCTCTCAGTATGTCATGTCATGAATAACTGTTTTTAAAATTTACAATGTCAGTCTGTCTACTTAAAATAGTCTTCGGAATGGGCAAATCGATTGTACTGAAACTCACAGAACAGATCCGAGATCCTGGGAGCGAAATATAGCTTAAATATAGTCTAGATGGCTATATTTAATATAAAAAACTAAGAGATGTTTTAAAAAAGAAAAATTATAAAATTAATAATCTTTGTTGATTATCATAAACCTAAATAAAGCGTCGCTGGTAAAAAAATAATATTAAACTCATTCAGAATCGTTGAACCCAAATTTCACAGACAAATGGGGGTGGTACCCTTGGAAATTTCTCTATTGAATAGTGGATTCGAACACTATTGTAGAGTTTTTTACGTGGTAGAACCATGCTGCAGTTATATTTGTAGTATAGTTGTAGCACGAATGGGTCGGCTCGACCGGGAGGCACTTTCCACCAGTGACCAATGCTGTTTTACTGGAAACGAGGCATTCCACCTAAGTCCACACGGATGAGAACGTATCTGCATTTTGATTCGTAATCGAGGATAGATGTAGATTCCTATGGGCCACAGCAACCACTTACCATCAGGAAGACTGTGTGCTCGTTTGTCTGTCTATTAAAAAAAGTGAAGATTTGTAATAGCTACAACTATAAGAATATGAGTCGGCTGCTGATAGTTACTCTGGTAGGCAGCGTCAAGTAGAATTTTTCTGTTTTGGACAATAGATAAATAAATCTTAGTTATAATTATTATATTGACGTGATTATTAAATACTGAATTAAAGTAATTTATGGATTCTATCGCGTTTGATTTTAAGTTGATTTTAAATCCCGATTTTTCAGGTACTTTAAAGCACCGATGGTCACGAAGTGCCTGAAAATCTTCTTCGTAATAATTGAACATAATCCAACTGTCAAATTGTTTAAATTTACTTAATAGGTCGTACAAGAAGTCAAAAAAACATATTTTTAGATTTATTAGTAAGGTTACATTAGGTAGGTTACTTAAGAATTTTAAAGTAAGGGTGTAAAACGACTAAACAATTCAGCCGGATGGTAAGTGGATGCTGTGGTCCATAGACATCTACATTTATCCTGATTAGGATTTAAAATACAGATGCGCTGTCCCCCTAAGGACTGAGATGGAATGCCTCGTCAAAAGGGTATCCGGTTCTCTACACTCAACATACGAAATACAGCAGCATTAAGCTGCTATTTTGCACTCGAATTCTGTGAGAGCGTAGTCTTACCCCGGTCGAACCGGCACATTTGTGCTACAACAATAATATAGCTGCATCTTGACATTACCACATAAACTTTTCTTTAATTTTTCGTGAAAATTTTCAGTACCTTTAAGTTAAAATTAAATAAAATTTTCGCATATTATGGTATACAACAAAACAGTCACGAGCATTAAAGCAATGTCAAATTACAACGACTGTTAATTTTCTTTTAAAAGGCGTAGGTAGCGTAAAACACGCAATCCTTAAGCACATAAAAGTTATTATTTTTTAATTAAACGTTTCGTATCTGTTAGTATAAACATGTTTCATATTTTTAACTAATGACCAAATTACATTTTCAGAAAAAAAATATTTTTCGTAAATAAATTTTAATGAACCATTACAACAAGGTCTTGGTATTTGGTCCTATTATTTTTGTAATCGTAAAGATATTTTCTTGCATGTAATTTTATAAGACTATTAATGATCCAACCCGGCTTTGCACGAGTGATTTCCGGTGATAGCTACAACAGCGCCACCTACTAAATTCAACTATAGATAGGAACCATCCGGGTGACTCCATAAGTATCCCATTAAAGTATTATCATAATGTCGGTCAAGGTGTTTAGTAGGAGATTAATTACGAACACACGCTCACCGGAATTTTATATATAAGGATTTAACTAACTTAATGCACGTTTATTTACATATATATATATATATAATAGAATCAGGCGTTACTTTACGAAAAATCATTATATTAAAGATGTTAAAATTAATTCGTTAACATCCGATTTAAAAATAAAAAGATATATTTGACCTAGTTTGTAGAAGACGTCTACCTAGCGTACCATACTATTACTGTCACTACTAATCCCAATACCACTACAATAAAAAAGCTCCAACTCTATCTTTACAATAAGAGTTTCGCCTATAAATGAGGCATCGTCAGGAGAAATAAACTCTGCGATGGGTAACCACAAAGTACTCTAGATGGAGGAAGAGCGGGAGATGCTCTTCAAACTGGGTAAGGCACATCGGTTTTTCACTCGGATGATTGCTAATTAATTTTAGCATCTTTACTATATGAATTTTATTTCTATATATACAAAGACTACTGTATTTATAATAAAGAAAATTACCACATATTATATATAACAAATAACATATTCTATGATCTTTAAGATTGTGGGGATGATCTTGGTCGTCAAGATTAACAGGTGGATCGACAATTTCAGAAACGGATGTCATAGATACGATGCTCCTGCATAAAGTAAATGGCCATTTTTCTCTATATCGGAATATCTTTGTAATACTTCTAACTATCTTACATCCCCACCACGTGACACAACACATTCTTCATTGCATTATTATATTCTAAACAATTGTGTAGTTATTTAAAAATCACGTTGACAAAGTCTCCCTTTAATTTATATAGAAAACCATGCAGACTTACCGTCATAAACAACTCCCCTAACCAGCTCATCAGCTTCGAACACTGGATGACTAACAGTCAAATTAATATCACTATCTCTTTCACCCAACGTTACAATATCTGCACTGTCACTTGGAATCCTTGCGAAGGCACAAGCATCACCAATTGTTTTCTCACTAACACTCACTACTTCACTTACTGTCGTTGTTTCAATATCGTTCGTCGTTGTATGATCGTAGCGTTCCGCTTCTTCAACCGGTATGCCTAATCTAGTTTCTATATTTTCATCAATGTATTTGAAATTTGTTGATTTGTCTTGAAAGCCATTACCATTAACAACAGGGGGACCAGGAGATCTACCCGGGGCGGGATCTCCAATCGGTAGACTAAGTGCTGAGCTATAAGGCAGTGAAGCAAGAATGATGATAGCTGCCATCACATTTACCACACACCGATTCATTTTGTTTGCGTTCTTGTGGCGTTTTATTAAGTTTTCGCATTGCTGTATCGGTTTCATTACTGTTTCACCGCCATCCGTTTAAGAGTTTAGTCCCGGTCATGAATGAATGAATCTGTGGAAGAAGAAAACCATTAATATTTGAAAAAATAATAGTTATTCACGAGAAGATGTTTGACTTTATCTTTATAATAACAATTGTGCTGTACCATCTTTAGTTACATTGCCGCTTACCGTCAGGTGGGATACTACGCAAGCACTGTCTTATATTATTTAAAACACAGATGTACTTTAATGTGTTACTGGTACTTCCAATAGATACTCTCTATGAACAATAATGATCATTAAATTAAACAGAATATTTATTTATAAAAAAACTAACTAATCATCAACGCTGAATAGCATACATAGAAAAGAGCTAACGTTTGCAACATTCTTCGAAAGTGTTTAATCAATCGTAGGATTTTTTCATACGTGGTAGAGCCATGGTGCAATTATATTAGTAGTATAGTTGTGGCACGATTGGGTCGGCTCAAGCGGGGAAGGACCACGCCCTCACAGAATACCAGCGTAAAATAGTAGCTTAATGCTCCTGTGTTTCGTGTGGTGAGTGTTCTCTACACCGGAGTCCCTTTTTACTGGAAACGAGGCATTCCATCTTAGACCTCACGGGTGACAACGCATCTATCTGCGTTTTGACTGTAATTGAAGATAGATGTAAAAGTCTATGGGCTGCAGCAACTAGCCATCAGGTGGACTGTGTGCTAATTTGTCACCTTATCCTATAAAAAGTGATTGAATAATTGAATTAGTTAAAGCCTCGTAGTTACGTAAAAAAGTGACGTAGAGAAATGCCTGGTAGATTTTCGATGTTGCTTTTACTTAACATCAGAGTCAGTATGTTATGAGGATTAAAATTAATTGGGATAATATTCTATAATGTTGCCTAATCTTCATTATCAAGACAACTCCTCCTAAATAATGCCACAAAAAACGGTCCTATGCCATCTGCATCCTTTGACTTCTTGCGTACTCAACACTCCGCTTACCGGTACAAAGCTGCTCCACGAGAGCTTTGTTTATCGGTTAACGGCTCTTAGTGCCATAATATAGCCAGAAAATTGCCACTTCAGCTTACTGATCGTTACTTAAACTAGTTTTGGCCGTCTGTTAATGACCACGTCTCGGTTCCATAGATCTCATTACAAAGACCGAATAAACTTTGGTTTTAAAATTTAAAACACAAAAAACGTAAACGTGTCGTATTTTCCCGAACGTTGCCTAGCCGAATCCGATCAGTCGATCAACCTTTTGGTTGAAGTTAGAATTACTTAGTCACGAAAAATTTAATGATTTCTTAAATTTACGCGAACACTACACATTGAATAAAACTATTATTTACGGATTTTATCGCGTTTAATTACTTTAATTTATTTTTTTATTATTATCCCGACGTTTCGGGTGCAAGTACAGCACCCATGGTCACGGGGGGGACTGAGATGTTTGACGTCCCAATGTCATTGTTAGCCCGGCTACCTTCAGTTTTTGAATATTAATTTTTGGTCCGATTTACGCAAAACAAACTTACAGTATCTTGAAGTCTTGCAGTGGTATGCTGGGGTTTGGGTTTGATTTTGTTAATTATAGGATCCCAAGCAGATGGCAGCACCCAACCATCTTCTCTATTGAAATTAGGATGTTTTTTAATTTCAATAGCCTCACGTATCATCCTTGGTAGGAATCGGTGTTCTTTTGCGAGGACTTGTGGTTTATCAAATCTGATGTAATGGTGGAGATGATCCTGAACATGTTCACAGACTGCAGACTTCACGTCAGCTATATGAAGCACCGACGCTCCGGGAAGTCTGCAGTCTGTGAACATGTTCAGGATCGTCCCCACCATTACATCAGATTTCATGTAATGGTGGAATGAGAAGATGGTTGGGTGCTGCCATCTGCTTGGGATCCTATAATTAACAAAATTAAACCCAAACCCAAGCATACCACTGCAAGACTTCAAGATACTATAAGTTTGTTTTGCGTAAATCGGACCAAAAATTAATATTCAAAAACTGAAGGTAGCCGGGCTAACTATGACATTGGGACGTCAAACATCTCAGTCCCCCCTCGACCATGGGTGCTGTAAAGCACCCGAAACGTCGGAATAATAATAAAAAAATAAATTAAAGTAATTAAACGCGATAAAATCCGTAAGTAATCGTTTTATTCAACACGAAAAATTTGTTAAAGTTGTATATTTACTTAGTTATACAGCAATTTATTTTATGTAAATAAATATAGGCCGACAACATCGAGCTTAAGGTTCCCAACTACTGGCATTAGTGAAACGTGGACCTTCTATATGTACTAAATATATAAAATCTCTATTCGTTTTGGAAAATGATTGAATAAAAATAAAAACGTTGAATTTATTATTCTTAGTGAAAATTGGCAAGCAAAAGACAATGACAATAAACCATTCTAGATAAGATATAAATGTCTATAAAAAAAGATTTATTCGTTTGAAATATTCATGTTACAATTTTTTTGTTCAATGCGTCGACAACAGATTTGTAATCGTTATTTGCATAGATATAGCAATTCTGTTTGACCTAACTTTTATCTTTTATGTCTATACTTATGATATCTTTTTATTTATAATGTACATATACCAGCTGGCACGACGAACATTTGTCTGGACTTTCCCGTAGGCGATTTTTTAAATAAAATAAGGTTGACAAACGAGCACACAGTTTACCTAATGTAGATGCGTTTCCATCTCTGAGGACTAAGTCTCTCAACTCTCTACACTCACCATACAAAACGAAGCAACGTTAAGCTGCTATTTTACGCTGGTAATTTTGTGAGAGAGTGGTCCCAGCAGTATCACTCTACCATTTATAAATTCATACTAGTTTCACCCTTAATTCAGTCCGGACTATCAAAAGTTCACTCATTTTTATTTTAACAGTACCACTGTATTTTTATTTAACAGTGGTAGAGCCACGCGGCAGCTTTCGCTGTTGCACGTATAGGCCGGCTCGAACCGGGGTGGTACTATAACCTCATAGGTGGCGGAGGCCTAATTCCCCCCCCCCCAATCACGCGAGGAAATAAATGTAAGACTGCTCCAGGAGGGTACCAGCACCCCTGGAAAATCCCTCGCTAACCATCCACGACCCAGCTACTCCACCCATGTGCGTGGGTGCTCAAGCTGCCCTGTGTATTCCAGGGGAGGGGGGATGAACAAAATTTCGCTCAAGACAATAACTGATCGGATCAAGCTGAGCAACAAGACGAAGGCGACCCCTATCCCGCTATCCGTGAATTTCTGCAATATCACGGGACTTTACTCGAACTTGAACGCCGTCCACTACCATCTCGAGACGGCGAAGCCAGCCTTGCTCTTTCTGACCGAGACGCATGTGTCCTCTCCAGCTACTATACTTCGTATATCTCCTACTCGGGCTGCAAATCGGAACACTCCATTGTGCCTCAGGCTGGAATTTACGTATTCATCAGAGAAGACATCTATTCACGACGCCTCGACAGTCTTGAAGGTTCGTACCTGTCCAACCTTTGACTAGGCGTAGACATCGACTACCATCCGCGCATCTACGGGTGTACATGTTTAACCGATCATGTGGTGAGATCTTGTGGGGATCGCAGGTTCGGCCGCACATGGAATACTGTTCTCATCTCTGGGCTGGGGCTCACCAGTGCCTGCTCTTTCCACTTGACCGCATCCAGCACAGAGCGGTTTGAATCGTCGACGATCGTTTCCTTTCCAATCGGCTCGATTCACTGGCGCTTCGAAGAGATGTTGCATCTCTTTTCATTTTCTTTCGCATCTACCACGAGGCGTGCTCTGAGATATTGTTCGCATTAATCCCAGCCAACAAGGTTCATGAAAGAACAGCAAAACTCCGTATACCATTCACACCATCTGGATGCTTGACAGTCCACCACTGTACGTTTCACTAGGAGTTTTCTTCCGCGTACGACTTCTCTGTGGAATAGTTTACCACCGGCAATTTTTCCGGACCGATACGACTTAGGGTCCTTCAAGAAAAGAGCGCACTAACTTTCTAAAAGGCCGGCAACGCACCTGCAACTCCGTGGGTGGGCGATGGTAGTGACTTACTATCAGGTGAGCCGTATGCTCTTTTATAAAAAATATTGAGGGCTCACATACCATCAGGTAAACTGTGTGCTCAATAGTCACCCTTATTCATAAAACTCGTAGCATAACATGGGGTTGTGGATTTTCTTATGCCGCCTTAAATATAAGCCAAAATATCCGCCAAAATAGCCGGATAAAGATATGCAGAATTTGAAAACAGTTCAAAAAAAGTGGTTTTTAGATTAAAATTTACCGTAAATGGAGACAAGAAACATTAGTTAATAACAAAATACCTCTCAGCTTGGATTCATTATATTCTATGAGCGTTAGACTAACGGTAACAGCGATCACGTTGTGTTCACAAACATGTTTTCAAAGAGCTTTACCAAAAATATTTGTGTGGAGAAATCGAATGCTTGGCTTGCTTTTGAGCTCACTCACCAATTTCTATTGAACCGTATCTTTGATCAAAACAACTTACTGTTTAGTAATAATGCATTTACTTTGCAGCTGTTCTTATGAAATTAATGATGGATTTAGATTTCATATATCAATAATAGTTGTGCCTTTCGATGTTTATTTTATTAAAGTTAGGGTATCATACTTTTACCATCACCGTTATAACCTATTATAGTCTACTGCTGAACACCACCCAATAGATTTTTTATAGGATAGGGTGACAAACAAGCACGCAGTCCACCTGATGGTAAGTGGTTGCTGTGGCTCATAGACATCTACATCTATCCTTGATTACGAATCAAAACGCAGATGCGTTGTCACCCGTGAGGACTAAGATGGAATGCCTCAATTTCAGTAAAAATAGTCTCTGGTTCTCTACACTCACCATACGAAACACAACAGCATAAGCTACTATTTTACG